GAACAACTGTGTCCTCAATCATTCAGACTTATCGTCGACAGAACAGGTATGTAATCTAACAATAGGCACTGTACTGTAATACTGTATACTTTCTGTAATGCTTCATACAATATTACAGTATTCCACTTGCATTTTACAATATACAGTCAGTATACTTCATACAGTGACATTTTATCTTACTCAATTTTGTGTTTTGCATTACTATATTTTTTCCACATAGGACTGCAAGACAACTTCACAGGGGTGGCAGAGGGCCCCTTTTCACACCTGAACAGGAGGAGACTATTTGCACCATGGTTGTAGAAAACAATGCCATGGTGCACACTAAGGTGTAACTTACAATTTACAATAATTGTCATCAGAACGTTAGTCATAGTTTAAATCAGAACACCCCTCCAGAGTACACTGTTATATTGACAACATGACTAAGCAATTTGACTGTCTTATTTGTACACAATGACACAAGGACTTGTCATTCTGATGGCACTGACATGTTCATTGACACAGATATTTACTTTTGAGAGATGAACTAAGGATTTTGCAGGTAATCCATGGCGTTTTGCTATTTGTACAAATTGTTTTGAGAAATGCACTTACTGTTTTGCAAATGTCGAGGATGATTCGAGAAATGTACCAAAGTGACTGAGAAAAACTGTAATACAATTCTGAACTTTAACTATGCTATTACTGTAAAGAAGCTCCATGAGAACAACCAAAGAAGATGTTACTCTATCTTAGACTCAAGTGTTGATCAGGCACTGAGATGAGGTTATCGTCACACATTTTCTTTATAAACAGAAAAATACTAAGTGAATAACCATTGGTAAAGAAGTGCAAATGAAAAGAGTGATTGACCTTCTGCAGCCAAACTGAAGTATGTTTACTATAAGACTCACCAGGCTGCCATTGCCCTCCCTACGGAAATAACTGAATTCACTTCCTCATGGTAAAATGTTTAATTGTTGAGTTATTTGTGGTAGGTCCTTTTAATATTCGATACTCTAAACCTTCATCTATCTATCCATCCATCCATGGTGACATTGACCAGCTGAGCCAATGCGTCCATTTCCAAATGACAAAGCTAATGGACTGAAGAGGAAGACGCAGCGAGTGGACATAAGACAGAGGAAGCCGGCGTTAGTCAATATTGGCACTGAAGACATTAGCAAAGACATTTACCCTTCACTTCTCCTTCCTCGCTCTTTCTCTCTCTCTCTCTCTCTCTCTCTCTCTCCCCCTTTCCTTATTCTCTCAAACGTTCCAAGTCACCTCCCTCAATTTCTCTCTCCACTTCTTCTCCTGCCCTCTACTTCCCCTGGAGAGCGATGCTGTCTCCCCCTCCAACACCTATTTTCACGTCCAATACTTAACCTGCTCCTGTCCATTGCTTTTATTGTTTCATTTCATCCTTCCTTTCTTTTATTTCAGCTATACATCATGAACTGCCCCCCTTGCTCCTTCAGACACCATTGTTTTAGATGGATAGATAGATGGATAGATCGATGGATCGATAGATGATAGATGGATGGATAGATGGATAGATGGATAGATAGATGATAGATTGATGGAAAGTTTTTTTTCTCTTCTCCTTGCCCACCTGTAGTGTGTAATAATTGTCTATGGGCACTGATGGGGGGTTAGTGAGGTGGAACAGCTTTGGTATTTGCAGACCTGCTGGGCCGTGAAATCTCACCGCACATGCATACGCCTCATATCCATTTAAATAGATTTAAATAAACGACCTTACACTGTGGCTAGATTGGGCCCGTGCACAGACAGACGCTGGAATGGATGGATGGACAAAGCGAGGGAAAGGTGCACAAGATGGAAGGTAAAATGCCGTTAAATGAAGTTTTTCCTACAATTTCCATAAAGCATGGGAATGCGATGATTGATGGCTCGGTGGTGGGAAGGCGAGGCGTAGAGCAGAGCAGCTCTGATGGATGGATAGATGATGTGTGCAGCGAGAGGGAACAGAAGGTAGATTCCATTTCAGATCTGCGCTCATCTGATGCATGCACCATGCTGGTGCTCTAATATGTAGATTGTGTTTAGCCTTTATCTATGGTAGCAATGTGAGGGAGCACAAACACACTCGGGCCATTTTGTTGAGACTAATGGTTGTACATGAAATGCCCCTGAATACTAATTTTAATGAATAATTTCTTACTTTGCTGCCACTTTCACATCATCCCTGGTCAAGGTCATGACTCGTATATTGATCTATTACATTATAACACTTTGGTTTGGACTGTAATCTTTCAAGTGTTTTAGCAGCAATAGCCATTTTAGTACACATGCATATAAAGAAGAGGTTAGGAAACTTTAAGATTTGATGTCTCCTCTGCAGACACATATTCGGAGTGACTTTCCCCTCTTCTCCAGACATGGAAACAGATGTGGATGTTTATGTGGCAGTTGGGGACCGAATGCCCTTCTCTGGGGCTCAGCAGCAGCAAACCCTCAGGATCTAACAGCTGCCATGTGGTGCACATCAGCCGCCTTTACATGCTGCAAATGCACCCAAAGGTGAGCCATGTATATCCAGGAAAAGTTGACTGATATGTTTAAGAAAAACCTTGCCATGCAACAATGTTCCTTTTGTTGGTAGTCACAGCCATGATTTTTTGGGGCATTTTCAATTTGAGTGCCAAGTGTGTGTGTGTGTGTGTGTGTGTGTGTGTGTGTGTGTGTGTGTGTGTGTGTGTGTGTGTGTGTGTGTGAGTGTTACGATCAACATACCTGTGTGTTTAGTGGCAAAATGGGGAAACTTTAAAGAATACTGGAAGTATTCAAGCGTTATGGATGTCAGTAAAGCTCTTTTTATGGTTTCACAAATAAAACATGCAGCACTTTATGATGCTACCCTAACCCTAACCCTATATGTTTATTTTTTAATGTATTTTAGGTTAAGGGACATCTTTATCGTTTTCCAGAAGTCATAAGACACAAAATTAGCCTCCCAGTTTTTCCCAGTTTTACTTTACTGTTCTAACTGTTCTTCAAAGATTTGTCTTTCTGTGGTCAATTCGTTTGTCCCTGTTCTTCTTCCTGCATCTTATCCCATCTGCCCCTATCCCATTTTCAAGTCCAGCGCAGTTTGGGTAGATGGCTGTTCATCATGATGGATTAACGCTGGGTCTTTTTAATATAGCAAACAGTAAGGTATTTTACCTTCTTTTTGTAATGTGTTGATTGATTGATTGATTGATTGATTGACTTCTATGTGCACAAAAATACAGAAGAACACGACCCCTGCTTCCAGTGTGTATTAAAACTGTACAAACTGCCTTCCAATGTCCCATCCTGTACGCACATGAGCCATTCCATGTCACCTGCCTTTGACTTGGCTAAAATGTATTATTCTAGCCCAGCTTAATTTTAAGTGGATTTCAAGTCTGTAAATCATCAAACACATATCAAAGTACAATACGTCTGAAGTTAAGAGCACAAATGATCACAATTTACCCAATGTTTTATTGCATTTTAGAGACAAAGTAAACAAGTTAGTATTTTCCACTTGTTCTAACATCCTGTCCTAGCTTGCACTATTGAAACCAGTCTTTTTAAAGGACTGTGTAAAATGTCAAGCTCTACAATAGGCCACATGCAGAAATACCTTATCTATATGGGCAGCTATCTATAGAGCCCATCCCAAAGCTTTTTTATCTCTTCTCCCTGTTCTTTTATTCATCATTCTACTTCTTTTCCTGGGAGGGACACACTGCTTGTGGAGGTCTAAACACCCGGAGTGGAGAGGGATTTCAGGTGTCGGGGTGGGGGGTGGGATGTGAGAGAGGCATGTGAATAATAGATCAGAGAAGGGAGGAGAGAATAAGAGAGATATAAAAGGTGTGGAGATAGAGAGAAAGAGAAACAGATATAAAGAGGGTGTCAAAAGGACAGAGAGTCAGATAGGGAGGACGCCTGAGGGATGCATGCCAGTGAGAAAGGGGACGGATGTAGGATTGACAGTTTTTCTTGGAGGGCAACTGTGACAGGAAAACACACATCTATAAAAGTACTGCATCTGTCCTTCTATCAGTCCATCTGGTCCTCCCACACACTGACTCTTCCTGCCTCTGGTGTGGTCAGCAGCTGTTGCATAAGACAGCCATTCATCTTTTATTGAGATGGCAAGCTTCCATAAATATGTCTACCTTGTTGTCAGGAGTCTAAAAGCTCGACCTGCAGTCAAGGAAGCAATAAACAGGATACCCACAACATCAACAATAACAAACCACTATACGCTGTAGACTTAAATTCATTTTAAAATTATTTCAGGAATGAAGGGGATTTCATGACAATGAATTATATTTTAAGATTTACTGTAAACTTGTTTTGTTCTTCTGACAACAATTACCATGACTTAGAATATAACAGAAATCTGAAGTTCACTAGAGGCAAATTACAACAATTTATTTCTCATGCTATCAGACAACAGTGTAATATAATATAGATTATTTCAAGTGTAACATTTCATTTGAATAATTGGAATGTTTCCTCTCTGAATTCTTTAAAGTGTTTTCAAATATCAAAACTGTCCAAAATGACCCAAATGATTTGGCAATAAAGTAAAAAAGTCATTGAAAGTTAACTGCAGGTTTTACTTTGAAAAATAATATATGATTGTCCAATATTGAGCATGTGTTGAATTTAGTGATGTGTTACAACTGTTGTTAATCTGTTTGTTCCTTCTTAATGCGAAAGTAATTTTACTTCTTAATAAAAACGTTTTATAACTTATTAGGACAGTTTAATTTTGTTTTACTTGCCATTATTATAGTAACGGCAGCTTAAAATAATAAGAATGAAATGCATTATTTAAGGGCCAACGGCATTATTAAACACTAGCTGCTGCAATTAGGACTGAGACTTAAGGGCCTTTCCATGTGGTCTATGGCACCCTAGTTTCAGGGCTTTCCACACGCTCCAGCTATCAGCTACCTAACCCCCCCAAAAAATGAATCGAGTAAGAAGAAAAAAGTCTTGTTCCTTACCTGAGCAGATCAATTTCATCAGCATGAACCCCTGTTCAAAGTGTTTCCTATTGGCACATCTCAACAGGCAGGAAGCCAACTTCAACTTGTCGTGACCTCACAGCTGCTGGAGGAATTACTACAGGATATAGAGAGAGAGAGAGAGAGAGAGAGAGATCACCACGTTAGTGAGAGGACAGTCTGTGGAGCAGGCCTACAGAGAGCAGAGAGAGAAAACAAACAGCAGCAGGTAGATGAAGAGCGATAGGAATAAATGAAGAGTGAGAGAAGCTGTGTAGTTTCACAGAGAGAGAGACATAGAGAGAGAGAGAGAGAGAGAGAGAGAGAGAGAGAGAGAGAGAGAGAGAACAGAGACTGATGTGCAAGTCACAACCTCCAAGACCGGCTGTTTATAAAGCCCTAGGCAAATTGTGTGTGTGTGAGAGAGAGAGAGAAAGAGAGAGGCAGTCAAGTGGCCACCCACACAACCTGTGTGTATGTCCATTGCTCTTTTCCAGAACATGGCCTGCAGGGTTCAAGTCTTCCAATCAATAACTAAACCAAACACGCACGAATGCACACACACACACACACACACACACACACTGTGCACAAATACAACACTTTACTGAACGAGGGAATTTCAACTGATCACAAGAACATCGCTTATTATGGATATTATATGAAAATTTATTAAAATAAAATAAAATAAATTAAATGTGTAATTGAAGGTCAATTTATGACTTATTAGTCATTTTATGTACAAAGAAAAAAGGAAAGTCTAAAACTGATCTTTTTGGATCTTATGTCTTTGGATTAAATCTTTCACAAGATTTGAATCGTGGGGACCCTTGCTGATGCAGCAGGACTGATTGTGTTGGAATATAATGATCGGGAGATTGGCAACTTAATGAGTGAGAAATGAATGGATCAATCCTATCATAGAAGAAGCTGTTATTCCAAGTCCAGAAGACACATGGGCCTTTAAGTACGCAGTTTATCTCAAATGAGCAAATGAGAATATAGAATGGCGCACAAAAATAAAATACTTTTAATGATCAGTTGACAATCGGTAAAATCTAACAATTCATGTTCGACGATGTAAGTCCTTGGATGGCGTCATTCCTAGATTTTTAGCATGTGTTCGTAGTATGAGTACTATTGACCAAAAATAAATATCAGCAGACTTTCAGGTATATGAGGGACTTTACTTCATACAAATCTGCATTATAATGCTGTTAAAAAAATTAAGATCTGTCATTTGCAAAAATGTTCTTCTTTTCTGTGTTCTATTTGCTCATGGAAGCCTCTTAGTAATCCTCCGGGGATGTACTGTAGAACAAAAGTAAAAAAATAAAGAAAACTACCATTTATTCTGGAGTCATATATGGAGGGTGACTTTCGCTTCACTTTTGATCTGTCACACGGTCGCATTTCATATTGCTAATTTTACTGTAAACAAATATGTGGCGGAAAGTAAATTTTGGCTGAGAGCCATTTATCACTACACACTGATAAACATGTGATTTATGTTGTTTAAGGGTAACAGTTTGGTTTGGTTTGAGGTGTTGCTTTCTCTTGATTCTAGAGCCACAGGTGGCCATACATGGAAAAGAGCATGGATTTGTATATCTTGGTCTCTGTGCTGGTTGGCAGGTTGCCATGCTGGCTACTTACAACTGACTTGTAAATATCTGGTCTCAATGCTTCACATGACAACTTCTAATGGCCATTTAATTGGCTTATAACACCCAAATTGTCTTCAGTGTTTTTGAGGTGACTTGTTGACTAGTTTAGATGAAATAAAAAAGATTTCTGTTTTTAAAAAACAGTGGGAGGAGAGAAAGAGAAGGCGAGACTGAGAGACAGGACCAGTCAGAGACACTGAAACTAAAGGATTCGGGTATTGCTTGTAGTCACAACAGCACTCCATCATTTCTCCATCTTATTTTCTGGTATTCCCCTCCCTCTGATTCTCTCTCTTTCTCTTTATCCCTCGCTCCCTCCTCTCATCCATCTCCTCGCAGCTCTCTCTGACAGTCTATTTGGCCCACACAGCTCTGTCATCCATTCAACCTGTCAGTCCTGGCAACGGCAACAATCACCCACTGACGGGTGTTTGTAGCCGGGCAGGCAGGACTTGTGGTACGAAAGTCCGTGCCATGGCTGAGAGCCTTTGGGATCATTTCCTGTGACAGCCGAGTCACAGAGGCGACCCATACAGTGAGAAGGTCGGAGGGTCAGTCCTCTCAGAGCAGAGAGATCATCTCTTGTTAGAACATCTTCTTGCAATCAGAATGTACTGGATTGTTATTCGACATATATAAATAGATATTACAAACCTTTGGATGATTTAGTCTCCTGAAGAGGTTTGGTCATCATTTTAATCAGTGTTTAAAACATTTTACCCATGACATGAGGGGCCAACAAGTTGATGAGTCAAGTTATCAAATCTATTAGACAGGAGACTGTAGATGCACTGAAAATGTATATTCATTTCTCAGGTTAAATAATATTAATTTGCATAACTGTTGTAATGATCAGAGCCTAACTGAGAACATCATTTCCAAAAATAAGATAACGGTTTATTACAAACATTAATTTGAAACGTTTCTTTAATTTTCTGCTGCAGAACTGTTTATTAGAATAGCAACCAATGCTGTGGCACCAATTTCACCTCACTTAGTCAATTGTGTAATGTTTTGTTCATGTCGACTTTAATTGTATAAACAACCCACTTTTTTTTAGCAGCTCTGGTTCTGGAAGTAAATTTTCCCATTTCCCCCAATTCACAAAATCCTTATATCAAGAGAATGACACCTAGAAACCAAGACAACCAGCTACCTCAATACTGGTGATAAGATATTTGATTTGGGACATAAACAGCATTGAAAAACTGAGAAAAAGGCAAAGACTGTGTCCTTATTGTTCTACCAGAGTCAAGGAACTACCCATCCCAGAACCCATTGCGAATGAAACCGCTTCTCCTTAAACGTAACCCTTGTTGTTGATATCGTGTTAATACTGTTAATACAAGTATTGTTGTACCTTGTAGTTTGTGTTTTATGAATAAGTCACATTCACTGCATCATAACATGACCCATTTTAGCTAACTAACTAGTTAGCCAGCTAGTGAAACTATCCGTTTGCACACGGTGCAAAGGGGCGGAAAACATTGCAATGGTAACAACCAGCTCCACCAATCAGAGACGTCGCTGTGACATTATATAAGCGTGGGTAGAGTAGTTATTTTCCCCAACATCTCAAATAAACCATGTTTTTCTTAAAACAAGTTTGATATAATACAAACTTCTGTCTTCTACAGGAGCATATACCATCGTTCCACACTCGGTTAGCTCGTGGAAAGTCTACCTTGGATGGTTATGACATTATGGCTGATAGCTAAATGGCTATTACTTCTGTAGCCACACGGTTGAGCTCTATCGATTTGTGCATCTTTTGGGTGGAGTGGGTGTATATCTAGTCTTAGCTCATTGATCCTGTCACAATTTAAAGAGTGTGTCAGTATAACACTAAAGTCAAAGGACTTTTTGTAGCCTTGACCTTCACAGCTGAGTGGAGAGAGAAAGCCACTTAGATAACACGGGGACGAGCTTTGATATCCTCTGGGGAACCCGGCATGGAGACTGCACGCAGCTCTGCTACTGTGAGTCTCTTTAGAGCAAACTGTCAACCTCTGTCACGGAAAAGTCACACGTATTAAAAACCTGGAGGAATTTATTTTAACACGAATACACGGATGAAAACACAAAATGTATCAAGGGAATTAATAGTTCTGTCTTTTATAGCTCGTTATTGATATTATCTATTTTCTGTGACAATTGCTATGTTGTCTGTTTTTATCCTGACCCATACTCGTTACGTCATCTGTACCTGTTTGGATTTCCTCCTTTCCATACGCTGAAATAACTTTTTATGTAACTCCTCATGCCTGCTGATCTGAGAGATGGCAGTTGAAAACATTTGGCCAGTTCTCCTCTCTGTACTGTAAGTGTTACTGTAGGGTTGTAAGGCTTCTGTACTTCACTGCTGAAACAACAGAGTTAGAGTGTGTGGGAGGAAAAGCCTGGGAGGAAATCTGCGCAAGAGAGAGAGATAAGCCAATCCAAAAATCACTACAACACGCCTACAATGTATTCCTACAGGGACATACAGCATGTTTGTGGTAGCCCTATAATGTAAATGTCATTTTTCACATTTTTATTTTGCCTTTGAATGTTAAATTCTTTGATAAAAACGTTTTACTGAAATCGCCTTGGCATAAGCATTATATTATATTTCCACACCATAGTCCTTTTGCATGGCACATCTGTTTTTGTTTTGAGACTGGGCTTTAAAGTTCATCTTGTTACACATTTTCCATCAAAAATTCCATATGGATGATCAGTGGGGTTGATATCTAATGGGTGCAGAGGTCATAATAAACTCATTCAAGCCTTTACTGACCTCGCATCTGCATCCATTCTGTTTCTAGATGATGTACAGTCTCATTACTACTTCCAATCATCCAGGTGGTTCCAGTGGTTGAAGTAGGATTAATGAAGAAATTATAGAGTTGTAATTTACCGGAAAAGTTTGTGCTCCCTTAAGTCAGAGAACAGAAGTATAGTCAACAAATATAATAAATTAAAACACCATTAGGCTGCTGATCTAGCGTTAGTGTCAGTGTTTTGAGATTATTTGAAGTTTAGCACAAATGTATTAGCAGTGTTTTCATGTTGTTGCAGGAGGAGGCAGAGGTCATTTACTTGAGTTCATATTTTAGCAATTTATATAATTTATGTTACATTATGAGCCGTTGATCTATAAAAAAAAAGTAAACAGCTTAACGGTCGATTATAGCAGTCGAAAGTGCAATAGTTCCTTCAGTAAGTGAGTTTAAGCTGCAGTCAGTGGAAATGAAATGAAGTAAAACTGTATCAGTCAGAGAGAATGAACACTTGAGTGCAGTTACTAAATAAATGTGATCTGCACTTTATAGTGTTGTAGTATTCTCCTGTGCAGTGCACCTACCGAATGGTTACATAATATAATTTGATAGAGGAAAAAAAAAAAATACCACAAAATAAAACAATAGCATAAAAGTACCAATGAGATAGGCTTAACAACCTGACGTCTCTTTACAGTACATCTCTATTCTTGTCTTGCACAGTATTTAAGTATACTTTTAGTTTGAAGATCACGAGCGAAAGAGAGAGAGAGAGAGAGAGAGAGAGAGAGAGAGAGAGAGAGAGTTTAGACAGGGATGGGAAGAGAGAGAGGGGCAGTATGAGTGAAACCGAGTGAGAGCGTGACAGTGAGAGAGATTTGCTGCTTACCTGCAGAAATGTAGAAATATATGTCCACGAGCACGCAGGAGTCCTTTCATCTGCTCCTTAATGTCTCTTCACATCTCTGTCAGCAACAGCAACAATATCCTAGCCGGATCACCCAGTCCGAAGCTCTCTCTCTCTCTCTCTCTCTCTCTCTCTCTCTCTCTCTCTCGGGACTTGGCCCACCTCCTCAGAATAGCGCTTCGTTAAACTCTCGGTGATACCCGAGATTTACCCGCACGACGATCAACACTGAAGAGACACGCGCTCCGATCGTCCGAGTCCCGTCCTCCAAGCGGTCCTGTCCTCACAGCATCATCATCATCATCATCATCATCATCATCAACATCACTGTCATAATCCTCCAACCCGCAGAGCTTTATTCTTCTCCTTGCTCTAGGAATATCCCTCTGTCGATAGCGCAACCATCAAAATCATCAATAGCGTTCATCTGCTTTTCCCTCCCGCATCCTCATCTTCCACTTCGTCTTCTTCGTGTAACTGTGTCCTCACGGCTGCCTCTCCGTGTCTCTGTCCCGTGGCTCGACTCTGCAGCCCAGTAAGTGTGTCATGCTTGGGGAGAGGAGCGTTTCATCCAGAGCAACCATATGCACAGAGTCAGACAGAGAGCCAGGAAATTACAAAACAAACTGTGATGATGATCAGAAATCATCTTTGAAGTTCTATAAGATTACTTCTGAACGTACAACATTATATTCAAACCTTAAATTATCAAAATTATGGCAAAACAAAACCCCACAGATATTATCCATGAATCTGTGAGGACGTTCAGATTTTAGAGCACAGATAATTGAACGAGGAAGATGAAATACTACAGTTTTGATATATAAGCCCTTTGTAGTAATGTAGTTATATAACTACAAAAGCTCAACACATCTGAGTATTTACTAAATACAAACATTGGCTTCCCCTGCATTCTGACCATTTTTTTTCTGAACCATTTTGTGTCTTTTTTGCACAACTTTATGATTAAGAGCTTGTCTTTAATCTTTTTGTGTCTTCTTCCAATCTCTTTTTCAGAAACATGTTCTCACAATGACAAACTTTTATAAACATGTGGACTGGAGATTTGCAGTGTCTGCACTATTCCAGCCCTGCAGAATATCTAAAGTTTCTTTATACAAGTGTATAGCTGAAATATCATTTATTATGACATTTCTTCAGTTTTTTTAAGGTTTGCACTCGTTAGAATTGTAAATAATATGGAAATGTGAAGAACAATCCAGATTATGATTCATTTCTGTGATATATGGTCATGCAGTGAAGAGGTGATCTTATTTTAATGTAGTTTAAAGAGGCGTCGAGACTGTTGAAATGACACACTCTCACTTCCCAATGCAAATGAGTTTGAAAAACTTTGTCAACAGTTTACAAATCTGTGCGTTAAGAAATCCAAGCTCACTGAATGCACGTCCGTGTCCTCTATTTTAATTAGCAAAGTTACGTGGGTTTGTTTGATAATAACAGTTATGCAATTCTTTTTAAGAAAAATGAACCGTCACTTTTACTCCTAGACCAAAACTCACACTTGCAAAAATTCACTCCCCCCATATAAAATTGCACAAAAAGCAGCAAAGGTCAAAGCTCCTCATAACACGCAACACATTAAGTCATTCTAAAAATATAATTATTTAAAGTTAATTCTAAAAGCATTTTTTTTCATATAAACAGAAGCCAGAGCCATGTCTCAATATGTTATTACTTCTTCGATTACAAAAATATTTTTATTCAATATTTATTTTTATTTATGGGTCTCACGCCTACCTTTTGTAATTTGATTTCCCCACCATGCAAACATTTAGATGTGTGTATGTATGTATTTATTTCGTATGTGATATTTGATACAGGTACTCTGGCTAATGAAAATATAAAAACAACACAAATATAAAATAACACATTAAGATTTAAAAAATCCAATGATTAACAGAAAATAAAAGTTTGACGAAACATATTGCTCAGCGGCAATCTACTGAAGCAGGTGCAAAACTATATGCTGCTATTATTTGCTTGTTATTGTTATTATTATTATTATTATTATTTTTTTTTTACAATTTTTACCTTTTTATTAAAAATATTTTAAATAAGAAAAAAATTGAGTAAAAGTAAGATAATTCCTACATTACTACACACATTTGGAAAGAAAGTAGTGTTAAGGTGGAACGAGCATTTCAAACTACAAGTTGTTGGACAGAAAAGGTATTTGCTCCTTTGCAGAAATCAAAGACTAGATGGCACGGAAACCTTCAGGAAACCACTGTAGCTTGTCCTCTATTTGTCCAGTTAAGAGAAAGAGTTAAAGATCTTTTTCACAACACTCCTCTGTTGTTGTAACAACTAAGGCACGGCCCTTTGCTGTTTCAACATGTCAATTTCAACATGCACAAATTGACTGATACAAAGAAATGGTTCTTTTATTCAAGTTGAGTGTGGAAAAAACCTGACAGGCTTTCACAAAGCCCTGACTTCACCCTTAGTGACCGACCTCACTCACGCTCTTGAGGCTTAACTGGAGCAAATCCCTGCAGCCAGGTTCCAAAATCTGGTTAAAGCCTAAAACCAGATGAATAGAGGATGTTAAAGAAGATTATTAACAATAGTTTTGAAATCACATGATTGACAATAACAATGAAGCTTTAATTTCAGATGTTTTGATATTTGTTATACACAGCACGAAGGTGTGTGATTTAATCATTCATGTGAATGTGAGGAGTGTGTTGGCGTGTATTGACGTATAGACTGATATCTCGATCGATTTCCTGGAAGCCTTGTTGCACCGATCAGGGGAAGTTGAAATGGCACCGAAACAACATGTCGTATTTACATCAGATATCTTGATGTCGAAGTAAGACACAAGGTTTCTGCCTATGAAAGGAACATTTTCCTTGCTGCTGTATACCCATTGTTATATCCCCCCCATGGAAATTAATACATAGTTAAGATATACTGTTGTTGTGATTTGGTGCTATACAAATAATGATTCATAGAATTCATTGTTTGATATTTTCAATATATGGACTCTGGTGAAATCATGTATCCATCTCTGCAATTCCCGCATAGCTCCAAAAGCCCTCAACATGAGCAGAGGTCAAATAAGCCAGAATTAAAAGACATCATCGCACATGTTTTTTCCACTTTATAAATAACTTATCCCTTAAATCTCAGTGGAAGATGCAGTTTTTGTTTTTGATTAAAGCATATTTTTATTTTCATACTTAATGTTTCCACAAATTATTAATTCTCATTAATCCACATGTCAGTACAAGCAACAATGACGATTTATCAACTGATCTAGAGTAAGTTTTCAGCTGTTTTTTTTTCCCAAGAGCTTCATAAAAGTATCACTTTCTTGATAATTCAGTTCAAATTTTCTGGGGTTGCTGCTTGTAATGAAATGTGAAAGAAGCCTTGAAAGTGTGTTTGGTTCTTCTGCTCCAGAGCAAACATTGTCAAGATGTTCAACTGAGAGACTACTTGCACTTCAACAATACAGTTTGTTTATCCGAAAATAAATACAAATTGGAGTGGCCCAGCTCTGACGTACTTTCAGGCAAATCAGGTCATATTAAGTGAAGGACTGTTTCCATGACAGAGAAGCATGAGTGTCTGACTCATTATTAATAATATAACTGATCCTGAAAATTAGAAAAACGTGTTTTCTTCCTACAACAAAGCCATTCAATTACTCCTCATGAAATGTTAAAAGATGTACTTTATGCTTTGTACCACAGTGTGGCGACAGAGTACTGCCTTATTCTAGCCAGCTGATAATTTGGCTTTCTCATGCTTACTGCTGCTGCCTCCCGTTGTATCTCTCCTGCACATCGTGAGTATGAGTTAGAATCCACAGCTTTAAACTAACACACAGACCTGTCACGCAGATTATTAGGTGAAAAATGTTCCATTTTAGGTGGAAACTCTCTGTGGAATTAAAATGTATAACTGCTTAAGCATGGTTTGAAATGCCAATTAATTTAACCATACAACGACATGCTGTTGTTAAACTGCTTAAAGTATTGGGCTGTCCACGAATGACTTTGGAATCTCTATAAATAAAATAAATTATTATTTTCTGATGGCTGAGCAAGAATGTTGCAAAACAAATTATATTCTGGAATATCTTGATTTCCATTAAAGAAAAACTTATGGCTTTGTTGCAGCTATTCTTAAGTTTTAAAGAGTCTTTACTATAGAACGGATATCTATAAAACATTCTACTTTCTTTGCTGCAAGGAGCAAACGAAGCAAACACAGAGGAAGAGAGGATGAGGAAACGAGGATATCCTCCTCCTCACATTGTTGTTAAGTATTTACCGTTCACAGACAGGACGTCAGTTAAGCAGCGCTGACAATCATTGTTAAAATCACCCTTTGAGTAGGCCTACATGTTTCACTTCACATTACAGCAGCTGATAATTTCAGGTTCAGTGTTGTTGCACCAAACCACAACATGTCTCCCTCTTTCCAAACACGATCCAACAAACACAGCCAGATGGAGAACCTTGTCGGTATCTGCAACAGCTCAGGCTTTTGTGCTGGTTGTTTTTTTTTTTTTTTCCATTCAGGTTTGTTTGTCAGTGTGTCAGTGGGATGTTTGCTGCAGCTCTGCTTTTGTGATGGTTGACTGCAGTGCTTTTCAAACCAGGAATGAGGACCAGGCCTGTTTCCATTGGGCACCCATAAGGGAGGGGTACCGGTATGTTTGAGTAATCCTGCTCTACCGTGACTTACACACAAGGAGCTGAACCCCCCCCACAACCACCCCAAATTCTGGCAATGCCATGTTCTACCTTTTTAGCTACATGCCACAGCTTTATGTCCGCCTCCGACAAAGACAAAACCACATCTGCTGTACAGACCAACAGAGGACTCAAAACAAAAGAAACCCAAATCCTGATACACAGTGTGAAGCCAGAACCTGCGTGTGTGCCATGGTGTTTAGTCTGTGGATGCTTGTGTTACACTGCAGTGAAATATTTGCACAGACAACCAAACGAAATTATCCTCCTGCAATAACAATAGAGACAGATTTTATTTACGAGATTTAATCAAAAAGGATGTAGGCCAGGGGACAGTTTGGCAGGTTTTAGAAACAAAATCGCTCTCTGTCAAAAGACGACATCCCTTGTGTATAAATGGATGGAAAGTCTGTACGTTTTGACCGAATTTAGTCTTTCAATCCTGCAATCCATTTCAGACGTCTTGTTAAATCTCTTGAAATTCATTCTGACTTCTTGTTGGGTGTCAAACCCATCAAAAAAAATCCAATATGTGATGCAATATTAAGGAAATGTGCATGGAATCACGAGACATGAATTGTTGTGCATCGAAGCATACTTACTAGGTTTTTAACTTCACCTTTTTAAATGACATTCATGAACAAAAAGCAGAAGGTTGTGTTCCCTTGTAAAGGAAGTTTCCTCTATTTTTGTGTGTATCATAAAGTCAAGGTCTCATTATTTCATCTGCAGCATCACGTATTAAGGGCGGTTTGGGAAGCTTTTCTGTGTTAGTATGACACTAAAAACCACAGTGAGAGTCATTTCTTTCTTAAATATTTCAAAAGGATTTC